CTATGTAAATATTATCGATAGTAAACAAACTGTTGTAATTTTCTTGTTTATGGATTTATTTTGATGGTACAAATATTTTGCTTACAATACGTCAAACAGTTTTAGATAATTGCAAAGCATAAAGCCGCCGTTAGAAATTCATTTATGGTATTTTAGTATGGGATTCGTGTTCAATAGTGTATTTATCTTACTGTACAAAATGCATACAGACATAGCCACTCATTATTAATACTCTTAGTATGTAAATATTAATTATATCAATGAGCTCTTTAAAAATTAACCACTACTTAACATTTCAGCTCACCTCGCAGCTAAATTCGAAAATGCAAATAACAGTAAGCGTTTACTTTTGACCTTTAAGTTTCAAGATGAGAAATATTTAAAGATAATATGTGGGTTTAAATTTACATATACCGTACTTAAATTTACCTGTGTATCTAATACTCCTGAAATACTACCCCACCCACCATATGATACTTCTCCTTTTCCCAAATAAATAGGTTAAATCCATAATTTGTGAAACCTCATATTATATTCCAAACGCGATGTTTGCCACTAAAAAACATATTCAGCCTAAACATACATATAATGTTCCGTGTACGATGGTAATACTAGAGTACGTAATACTGTTCACATACATTTAAGTGATAGTACTTATTTATTTCCAACGGCAGCAGCCAATTTACAAAGAAAAACATGATGGTAGAATACAACAAATAGGTACCTATACAAAATTTGATAATAAATATGTATAAATATGTATAATATGTATAATATGTATAATAAATAAGTACTGCTGATTGATGCCTTGTCCTATAATCTAATACGAGCTATGTTTGTCTGTCTGTCTGTTATATACAGGGTGACCCGTAAGTAAAAAGCCAAACTCCAGGAAATGGTTCTATGGGTCAAAATAAAGAGAAAAGCACGGATTCCAAAATCACCTCGTTAACCTGTTATCCGCCGTTTTGTATTTTCTACACATTTGTATTTTAAATTTTTTTTTCAAGTGATCCTTATAAAACATGGTATGTAGGTTAAGGTAAAAAATACCAATGTTATAAAAAAAATAATTTTGATATGAACTTAAAATTTCAAAATGGTTGCCATTTTAATTTTGTTGACATAAATGACTCCAAAAAAGCTAATTATATGAAAAAATTTCAATATAACTTTCATTAGGCATTTTTAATTCCCTATCAAACGATACAAAGTTTAAAAATATCGAATAAGAAATACCTGAAATATTACAACTTTAGCTGTAAAATGGGATAGAATAAGGCAGAAACTAGTCAGGTTTGCCCCATTTTACAACAAAAAATCGTAATATTTCAGGTATTTCTGATTCGATCTTTTTAAACTTTGTACCATTTGATAGGGAATAAAAAATTCTAAATGAAAGTTATCTTGACACTTTTTCATAAAATTAGCCGTTTTTGAGTAATTTAAGTTAAAAAATTAAAATGGCCACCATTTTGCAATTTTAAGTCGAATAAAGATGAATTGTTTTCTAACATTTTTCTTTTCTGCCTTAACCTACATACCAAGTTTTATAAAGATCGGTTGAAAAGATTCAAAAATAAAAATATTTATGTAAAAAATACAAAATGCTGGATATCTGGTTAACGACGCGATTTTGGAAAAAAATGTTCCTTTTGATTTTCTATTTATTTTGACCTATAGAACCATTTCCCGAAGTTTGGCTGTTTACTTACAGGACACCCTCTATATCTCGAAATCCATCGGAAGGATTTTGATTAAATTAGGAATTAGGGTCTTAAAGCTCTAAAAACGTTTAGTGACAGACACTACCTAAGGAAAAGATGTACTTCGCTGCACAGTTCATTTGAAATTTTGTAAATGTAAAGTGGCATTTTTTAGCCAAGTTACCATGTTGGTTGAACAAAAACACAAGGTAAAAGCAAACAAAAGACTTGTCCCATGTGTTTATAACCATACATCTACTACGGTATACTAGCAAATAAAGGAAATACATTAGTTGTTACTATTGAGCAAATATTACAATGAAAATTATTCGACAAAGGGGAAAATAGTTCTCATCAAATACAGATTATTTGACTTATTCCTCTCCCACCAAAACTTAATTCCTGAAGTACTGAGGCATTCAAAGTAAACTAATTACATCTTTAACTATTACCGTATGCTAAATCCAAATTAAAAACGGACAGAATCTCAATTTCTTTAGAAGTAGTGGTGAAAAAGCAAAACATCGCTATCACAGGCCATTTTGAAACTAATATAATTTTGTTTGTATCATACTGTATTTTTATCTGTTGTCATTGGTGAGCGAAAAAGTCGAACAACGTGTTTCAATGACTAGAGGGGAGAAATATTATGTGTGAGTAGCACTTAATTAAACTTAAGCAAGATCATAAAAGTTTGCCTTATTTTTGTTCATAGTTTTACATTACAAAGTTGTTATTTCAGCAATCAAATGTCTATGGTTTGTAATAAAAACTTTTTTTTTTAATTATAAAATTTGTGTTTACGATATTTTTTAACGATTAAACCCAATTAACCACAAACGAGCAAGACACTTCCTCCCGGAACTGTAGTATTTAACAGGGGTAAAATCCAACAATAATTTACATAGGTTAAACAGGTTCGACTTAATCGGTTTTTATACTTAGTCTTATATACTAGACCCATACAAATTTATTACTTAATTTGGGGCATTGTCATTGAGGCAGGGGTCTCTACTTTACGATTAACTTGGAGAAATTTAAAGAGGGAAAATATTCTATTACTAACTATACAGGGTGTCCCGTAACTCTCTGGAGACATATACGTTATTGTTTAGGTCAAGACAAACACATTTCACCATTGTAACATGGGTCTGCGGTGTCTAGTTTACAGACTGTCTGTATTTATGTGATTTTTACGAAAACATTAAGAACTCCTAAACGGTTTGGGGTACAGCGTTGATATTTTGCAAAATTGTTTACCTTATTAAGACTTATCTTTTTTTATCATACTAAAAAATAACTTACCGTTTCAAAATGGCAGCACTTTAAAATATCTGATGCCAAATTTCACGAAAACCGTTACCTTAACGAAAGCATTGCAAATTTTAACATTTAAACATAACCATTTAAACAATGCTAATACATTTACGTTGTTTAGCATTGTTTGAATGGAGAAAAGTACATTTCTCTGTTATTATTTACCCATTCTTAAATAAATAAGGTATCATTGAAATTTACTAACTTTTTTGTCTCTTGCAATGCTTTCGTTAAAGCAACGGTTTTCGTAAAATTTGGCGTCAACTATTTTAAAGTGCTACAATTTTGAAACGGTTAATGATTTTTTAGTATAATTTTCAACAAAGATAAGTCTTAATAAGGTAAACAGTTTTGCAACGTCTCAAAACTGTATCCCAAACCGTTTAGGAGTTATTAATGTTTTTGTAAAAAAACACATAGATACAGACAGTCGGTAAACTAGGCACCGCAGACCCATGTTCCTATGGTGAAATGTGTTTGTCTTGACCTAAGCAACAACGTACAGTGGCCAGAGAGTTACGGGACACCCTGTATAGTTAGTAACTTTTGTGAACTACTGGGAAACAACCACCTCATGACGTCAGTGTAGCTCTAGTTATGAAGACATGTCTTGGACCAGATCCAACCCCTGCCCTTGTTTTCTTCTCTACTGGTTCGTTCTGCTCTCAGATAATATTACTGTCGCTTTTATTTGTGTTTCACGAAGTTTCTGTCGAGTTATGATCTCCGTTAAAACCCGATCTGTGGCCTTAACTCGTCTCTAGTAGGATCTCTTGTAAGCGATTTCATCCAATTCGTTGCGCCCCTCTGTTACGCAATTAAAATAAAGATAATTCCCCCCTTTTCGGGTCGGTCTTGCCAATATTCTGTCACTTTGCCTTTCCGTTTGATTCTTGTAAGTGTATCTATCGAATAGCTCGGTTGTATCAAATAAATGTTCTCCATGTGCAAAAGAAAATCCTACAAAGTTTTCCCTTTTGTACATATGCTTGTTCATGCTTGTTTGTCAAAAGTATAGTAGGAAGGTTAGGCTTGTGTGTTCATACAATATATTAAAGACCTTCTCGTTACATGTTATAAATCATGTGTAATTTGTAAAATTGTCAATATGATTTTTTAGCATTTAAAAACATTTCTAATTACAAAGAAAACCTGTTTCTGTTATTTGGATACCCAGAAGAAATAGTTAGACTGCAATGAAATCACTTAATTTAAAATAAGAATTACGACTAAATATAATGTAAGGAGTTTACAACCAATTGAGCCAGTACCTGAGGATAAATTATGCTCCATACTGGTAAAACAATTTGAGTAAGTTAAGATATTTAAAAGACAATACAGCTAAAATAACCAATACTAAAATACTGTATAAGACAATTTTTATGAGCATTTATAGATGTAGTCTTCAGGAACGTGGGTGTGCTAATGATAATTACAACTTGTAGCGTACTCTATTTATATACTACAGTATCTCCCACGAATACTAGAAAAGACCGGGTATGGCTCATAAACATAAACAAATGACGTTGTTGGCCCGAATCCTATACTAATAGCATTAATATATGTTTTGGCAGTTCCATTTAAGCAATGCTAAATCATGTTTATTTTCGGGCCAAAAACGTCATTTGTTTGTTTATGATCCATACCGGTATTTTTTAGTAGCTATCTCCGAAGTAGTTTTGATCTAACGCTTCAGAGGAGGTTGCATCATTCACGCAAGTAGACAACTCTTGTATAACATAATTTTTTTTTCTGCCCCCTTAAATCTAAGCTAGAACCAAATGTTAACATAGCACAAATATCTGGGGACAATCTCCTAATTAAACTACGCTTACCTTCACGTTCCCTCTGAGGATGACTTCGCCCTCCGCACTCCGGACCCCCTCCGCACCTCCTCTGCGTCCCACCACCTCCACCTCACACTCCACCTAGCTGTAACTCACTTAGCCTGTAACTTAGCCTAGGTTGTCGTATTACCTGGCTCGGCGAACGTGATTATCTCCCTGGTGCGGCCGTAGAAGTCGTCAGGCTCGGAGGTCTCTTGCGGCAGTCGCGTGGTCGGCGGCGGCGTCTCCTCCTCCTGGCCCTCGACGGAGTCCGCCCTCTCTATCGTGTCCTGCACCACTTGCCGCGACACCGTCAGCGTCACGTTGGGCCGCGCCGCCAGCCCCAGCTTGGACAGTATCTGCGCCTTGATGGCCTCCAGACGTGGCGAGAGAGACACTCGCCGGTGGTGTTTGGCGCCGTGGTGCGAGTGTGGGTGGTGCGGCACACAGTTGGGGCACGTCTGGTCACTATCTGGAACAACCGGGGTTCAACGTTAATCTCGGATGAAATCGACATCAAGCTGTTCCCTGATGCATCATTTTATTACAGTTGCTATACATGAAATTATATCACAGTCGTACGAGAGGGTTTGAGATTAGCCGTATTATGCAGGGCATATTTCAGTACCTTTTTTCATTCACAGTAGGTGTAGAACTTTATGTGGATGGTAGACCATTGAAATATTGCTGGAACAGTGGCATGGATCGCACCAGATTTAAAGGTAAAATGGGATTATAAAATACGTCTATATGAATATTCTTCAAGATTTGCTAGCGTATGTCAGTTCAAAAAATTGTGTAAGGTTTCCTGATTGTAATACACTTTTTACATTTCCATAACATTTTGATATAAAATACTTTCGGAGTTGGTATACGAATATAATATTCACTACAGCCTCGTGTGTCAAATGTTAATTGTAACGTAATACCTATAAAAACAATATAAAAATAAAAATAAAATCCGTGAAATTATAACTACAAACAGGTATGAAAAATAAAAACTTAATACTATAAGTAAACATTTTTTCCTCGTTGGTAAGTTGTTTTAACGGAACAGTCTACTAGTCGTACGTATCAACCTAAATTGACGACAAAATGCCCGGACTAACTTTAACTACAAATTTTACTTCTATAAACCATCAAATCAAGTAGTTTCCAAATAAAGTTTTCAATTTCAGCCCCAAGTTTACACCTTTGACATTTAGTGAAGTGGCGCCGGTCCGTAACAGATGACGCGCACAGACCGACATTAAGCCTTGCCGGGTCCATTACCGACCTCGTACTAATCATCAATCATGTTCACGTTCATCTTCCGTTTTTACGTTGTGAATTTTCGTAAACTTTGGAATAAGGAAAAATCATTTGCTGCGATATTATCCGTAAGAATCGTTTAAAGGCAAAATCATGATTTTAACATAAATTACAAGTGTAAAAATGTATGTGTGTATGTAGGTCTATGACACAATATGAAGTTGAATACATCAGGTTACATGCAAGTAAATAAATGTATGGAAAATTGTCAGCTTTATGAGGAAGTTGTTAGAGGGTTACTACTGAAAAAGGAGTGGAATATTTAAAAATTCCAAAAACTAGATGGCGGGTTTGAGTTTTTGTATTACATGAAATTTGTTAAAGAGTAAACCATAAAGTGTTTGAGGCTAATTGCAGTTAAGGCTAGTACTCACTAGGACACCCGGTCGCTTATCAACCGGCGACCTGGTTGACGAGCGACTAAGTTGATGATTGAACGTTTTATTGCTGGGTGGTACACACTAGGATACCTAGCACTTTCAACCAAGCTGGAAATCAATCAAAATTTGGTGGGGATAGACAATTTGTTTTGTTCTGGTTCACGATTAAGCCTATCAAAGTGTGAACCTAAATGACAACACCATGCCCCCGACGAAGAGGAAATAGCTGCCGAAGTTTTGATTACATTTAAAACTGTGGGAAGTAGAGAAGAAGAAAGAAATTGTTTAGAAGATTTTGGGTTAAAGGGTGGCTTTAACGTAGAAATAGTTACAGCCACATGACACTCCTACGAGCTTTGCGACTTGAGAATCCTCAGGATTTTAAGAACTATTTACATATTTCAGATGACAGTTTCCGTCATACTAAGCAACCAGTGACACCCGTAACACCTCACATAGAAAAAAGGACGTCATATTGAGATTTTAGCATGGTTTTGTTTCGTCAGTTCATTTTTCGTTGTACTGCGCATGCGCTAGCCGTCTTTAGTTGATCAACTTGGTCGCTGAAGCGTACACACTCTAGTTTTTTGAGAAATCTGATTGCCCGGCGATAAAATGGTTGATCGGAAACCCCCAGGTTTTCGATACATGTCCGAAAACCAAAAAGTTGCCTGGCAACCTACAAATCGCCGTCAACCAAATTGACAGACACGTACACACACGGCGATATTTGTGCAATTTGGTCGCTCGTCAACCAGATCGCCGGTTGATAAGCGACCGGGTGTCCTAGTGAGTACTAGCCTTTAGGACAACCTTCAATACGATTATCCTAGTGGTGCTCGGCTGACCTGTCAGCTCTGTCTGCGTTGGGGTTGACGATGTAAACGTAGGGCAGTGCAGGGGGTGAGACGCCGATGTAGAGGAAGTTCCTGCGAGGTGGAGGAGAGAGTGAAAGTGACGCGAGAATAAGAGAAAGAGATAGAAAATTCAGTTATTTAGTAAGGAGCTAACTGATCAACAACTCACCCAATCATTGTGATTGTCATCTTATAATAAGTTTACAGGGTCTTCATTCATCCGTTGGGTCTGATGAGAGTGTGTTTTATCGAAATCGATAACCACTTACCACCTGTTACATGTACTGATGTTTACCGTCTTGCATGTTAACAGTAAAATAGTGTAAACAGCCTAAATTTTTCAATAGTGATATTAGATCTATTTGTATTTACGTTCTGTGCTTAACTTCATAATACATATAAATGTGACACTGTTCTAGTTCCTTTACAATTATTAAATTCATTGTTTAAGTACGCCAGTTTGCCTGTGTATGAACAAATGTTGATGAAATTTGGAAAATCGATTTAACGCATGATAAAATATGAATATATTTCACTAAAAAACACTTATTTATCTTCGTTGTCACAGCAAACCTAAGTACTCGTTAAACTAATTTTATTTAAGTAGTGAATGAATATGACATTCTAAAGAAGATCTTTTATTGAAAATCCAACCATAAAAATGGAAATTTCCCTTAGTTTGCAGGTTTGTTGCGGAGGGGGTAGTTAAATTATCTATTCGCTGTTTATGGGAAAATCCGTGATCTTAATAAAAATATATCCGATTGTGGCGCGTGTCTTTAATTGACACCGTTATATAATGTTAAGTTCAAATATAAATGTAGAGGTATGCAACTAAATACAAATACGGTCTGGTACTTTAACAGACGAAAAATATTATTTATAAAAAAAATAGAAGATTACTTCTACGTGGAGGGTACAATGTGGTTGAGATACTACACTATCATTTTTAGCGAATTTCCCATGTAGCAAATAAGCTATTACTGTAGGTCTCATAATAATACCTATAACCGGGACCGATTTACTTATTCGTTTTGAGATCTACAGAGGCCAAAAACACCCTCCGTTCAAATATATATCAAATATATGTCCGTTAGCACGATAACGCAAGCAATACCGCCGCCACAGCAAACCTGCCGACTAAGCGAATTTCCATTTGTCTTAATTGATTTTAAATGAAATCCTTTTAAATAACGTTAGGTTTAACGAGTACCCAGGTTTGCTGCACCAAAGAAACTAATAAAGTGTGTTTTTTGTAAAATATTAATAGCTTAGTAAATAAAAACAGTAGATAATAAATAAACTTGCCAAGTTTGATCCGATTTTAATGAAATTTGGTAGTAACGTGTAAACCTACGACTAATAGAACGAGTTCGCGAACCAGCATGATCGGACCATGGGAACGTGGAGTTTAATGGGGTAAACATTGGTTTTTGTAACAAAACACAAAATTTCCCAATATTTCTATAGACCTTTTAAAAGAGCGTAAAACAAATAATTTAGTATATTGAAGCATTGTTGTATGTCTGACGGTTCCGGAGAAAATTCTATAAAAGTTTAAATTAAAATGCCTATGTTATTCTTATGGAGGAAAATAACTTGTAGTTAAAGCTTTATTTAACTTGTTTTAAGCTCTTACTTCATAAAAATCACTAAACGTTATCAATCCGCTCAGCTGGCTTTAAATCTTGTTCTCAACTACATACCACGAAATAAACTAAATTAAAACGCAAGCTTTCCTTAGAATATTGAAAAATAATGTTTTAAGTTGTATAATTCTTGTTTTCAACAAAATCTTGATTTATTTTTTATATAATAACAGATTTTTACAAGTTTTAATTAGACTCCCAATAGACTTTATTACCAACCAGCCTATGCAGCAATAGAACGCCGTTACATTGGTTCTGTACACGTGCTGTTTACAATTGTAAGCGTGCAGTTTGAGTACATTCAATAAAACAGTATTTGCCAAACTAATAACTAGCCCAGTGCATCAATAAACTGATAAATACTTTCTATATAAACAGTTCGGATGCATACGCTGTTATAACGTTGTTATTAAATGTTGAAAATAAACCCGGGAAATATATTTTCCCCACACTATGATGTTTTTAGCTGTTTTACATACGTTAATTGGTGGCTGAAAGTTACGTTTTGCTGGCCATGCCAGCTGTTATCATCATTTGGGGACCGAGCAGGTTTTTACATCCCTAGGGCCGCAAATTCAGCTGCCCGCTTACTTTCTTAAAACATGAATGCATATTAAATACACAATCAGTATCCATACCATTGCAATAGAATTGTTTTATTGTCACCACTGCCTAGCAACTATTTATTATTATGTTTTCTGGTTCTTCAAACTATTTCTTCACATAACCTTAAAGTTGTAGTTGTGTTGACTATCATTGTACATTATTATTGTGGTGAATAGTAGTAATAGTGTATAGTGTGGTGAAAAATAGCGTTCGTACCACGGACCGAAATGGTTTTGCAGCTTCGACTTCGTCTCGAACTTAAAAACTATCTCGAGCTGGCAAAGCTTCATTTTCAGCCTTTGGTACGAAATATACTATTTCAGTCGATGTAGTAATACTTAGTCTTTCAATGCCCATGTCTAATCACATATGTAGACGTTCAAGCTCAAGTTAAAGTTGCATCCACTGTTAGGGAGTCAATCTTAGTTGGGTTGGTCAGCTGGTAGATAAAGCTGATATGAATACCGTTTTACTTCTTATAAACACAGTTATCAGTATTTAGTTGCTTGGCAAATGAATTGTTCAAATATATTGTTAATTTTACCAAACTGTAATTGGCATTTTGCAGAGGGGTACTTGATAGTCGCTAGTTTCTGTATAGATTTATATTATGTGTGTCCGTGAACACGATAACTTGAGTTTTTTTTTCGGATTTTGATGAAATTTGGT